TGTGAATAGTATGTTTACATTATATTTTATCATTTGTTTAACAAAAAAGGTTGCAATTATAGTATTGTGAAGGAAGGAGTAAAACTCTTCCAGATAATGCATGTATGTGTAATGGAGTATACAACATATCTTTCTAATGAGAAATATGAAAAAGGATTACGGAGAAAAAATCAAAGTTCAAACAAAGGTTTTTGATTGCTGGATCACATCCCCTCTACATACAAACCAAAAAGATGCTTTCAATTATGGAGTTTTCTGCTTGATGGTGAGATGCCAACTATATATTTACGGTAAGGTTTTTGATATTGAATCAAGCAGCTGAAATGTATACAAACACAATTCTTATATCCATACATGTTAGAAAGATGATTGAAATTGTGCATCTATAATAATTTGCAGAGAAACATCTATTTGGAGATTTAAAATGTCTGTTGACAATAACATCAACTGAATTGAAGCATATAAGAAGAGCTGTTGCTTCGAAATTCATGGTGGGCAAAGGTAAATATGAAAACATTTACACCTCCTTCGTTTATTAAATCATACTGATTAATACATGTATGTAGTGTAGGATTTTACCTTACCTCTTCATCGATATGAGCTTGTGCTATACCGTTGGCGTTAGTGTCAGCATCCAGGATCAAGTTTTAGGAGCTGGTCCATTCCCAAGCAACCATAAGCCCTATATAGACACACCTTGTATGGGTGATGCATTTTGGGATGGACATTGTCACACTTGCCTAAAGAAATATTAATGGATATTGTTGTCAGAATGCTCATTTAATTTCAAAGATCAAAGTACTCAGAAGTACAGAGAGCCGGGCTCATTTACAGAGTAGAATGGATTTCCTACATGAATCACGTTTATATTCTGATGAAAAAATTATTTTAAAACTATCAATATAAATGATAAGACACTGGCAGTGAGTTTTTCAATCCTAATACCACAATCCAATTTTGTCAGAATCAGAATTAATCTGGTACCGCAGCTGAATGTAAACAAACAGGCAAGTCTGGTTCCCTCTCCTGCTTTACCTCGTATGTGTAGAGAACTACGGTAACACTGATTATCAAAAATCCTTACGCTAATGAACTATGTTCTTTGACTTATGAAGTTTTCAAAGTCATTACTACTAATGTTTATTTTATATAGATAAAACTTCGTTTTATTTTTGTTGCTTTATTTAGCGTTTGTATTATCTCAAAAGCGGTTGAGAGTAAGAACTATATTTTTGCACGTAACTTTAAAATGGCGACTATGGGGTCAACATCCTGCCTTGAACAGGGTCACATAAGCCGGCAATTGCTCTTTGAGCAATAAGCCCGGCTAAAAATATGTAGCTGCAGAACTGTAGCTCTCCGAAACCAGAAGTCTCTGTCGAGACTGAAGCTCTACTGGTTTGTACTTATAGCAGAGGAAGAGAAAAGTACTTACGCAGTTGGAAATTGAAACTTTTCAACAGCAATAAATGGAATAATGATCCTTGATTAAGTCTCTTTATGTTCTTAGTGTAGTCTACTTGCATGCCACATTATATTATAATCAGACTAAAACTGTATTTGGAGTAGCATTTTAAGAGTATTTAACAGAAATTTCTATTTTTAGTAACCATGGCAACACCATTCATTGAAGTGAAAAACTGATATACAGAATTATGTATCTTAGTGTAGTCTACTTGTTTGCCAAGTTATATTGAAATCAGACCAAAACTTTAGGAAATGTAGCATTTTGAAAGAATTTCACAGAAATTTCTATTTTTAGTAACAACAGCAACACCATTCATCAAAATCAAAAACTGATATCAAAAATTATGTTCCTTAGTGTAGTCAACTTGTGTGCAAAGTTATACTGAAATCAGACCAAAACTGTAGGAGGAGTGGCATTTTGAAAGAATTTTACAGAAATTTCTATTTTTAGTAACAACAGCAACACCGTTCATCAAAATCAAAAACCGTTACACAGAATTATGCTTCTTAGTGTAGTCTACTTGTGTGCCAAGATATATTGAAATCAGACCAAAACTGTAGGAGAAGTAGCATTTTGAAAGAATTTCACAGAAATTTCTATTTTTAGTAACCACGGCAACACCGTTCGTCGAAATCAAAAACTGATACACAGAATTATGTATCTTAGTGTAGTCTACTTGTGTGCCAAGTTATATTGAAATCAGACCAAAACTGTAGGAGAAGTAGCATTTTGAAAGAATTTCACAGAAATTTCTATTTTTAGTAACCACGGCAACACCGTTCATAGAAATCAAAAACTGATAAACAGAATTACGTATCTTAGTGTAGTCTACTTGTGTGCCAAGTTATATTGAAATCAGACCAAAACTGTAGGAGAAGCAGCATTTTGAAATAATTTCACAGAAATTTCTATTTTTAGTAACCACGGCAACACCGTTCATCGAAATCAAAAACCGATACACAGAATTATGTATCTTAGTGTAGTCTACTTGTGTGCCAAGTTATATTGAAATCAGACCAAAACTGTAGGAGAAGTAGCATTTTGAAAGAATTCCACAGAAATTTCTATTTTTAGTAACCACGGCAACACCGTTCATCGAAATCAAAAACCGATACACAGAATTATGTATCTTAGTGTAGTCTACTTGTGTGCCAAGTTATACTGAAATCAGACCAAAACTGTAGGAGGAGTAGCATTTTGAAAAATTGTTTACAGACAGACAGACGGACAGACAGACAGACGGACGGACGACGGACGCATTACTATCGCATAAGCTCTTCTGGTCTCTGACCAGTAGAGCTAAAAATTAAATTGATAGACCGGAGAGCTACAGTGCCACCCATTGAAAAAACTGTTTATTTATTGCGCACAAAAAAGTGCGCTGTTTCTCGATTTTTTTTCTCCATGTTTTCAAAACTGCCATCTCAAAATATTACTAACCGTGAGTTCCTATCATATTTCTTCACTGTTTCCACAACATAACGTTCCTTATAATTGTTTTTAATAGCCCTTCTGGTCCTGAAATTGAGATCATCGAAAATTTCGTCTATTTATACTGCCATTTCGGTTTGCAAGTTAATTCAGCCCAACGCGCTTCGTTCAGATGTAAACTACGAAAGTAATTGATAGACTAGTATGGACTTTGCTGAAATCTAGCTTTTTTCGCAACTGAGGTCAGAATTTGGAAGAATTACTCCAGAACCGAGCGCACTTTTTTGTGCGCAATAAATATAGTTTTTTTCAATGGGTGGCACTGTAGCTCTCCGGTCTATCAATATAATTTTTTCGGAGAGTTACAGTTCTGCAGCTAGAAAATATGCGAGATGCGCATTACTTGTACTGAAAACATTCGTCTAGGTGAACTTCATAATCTTGGATTACCAATGGTTTACTTTAAAATTAAAAAAAAAAATACTGTCTTTAGGCTCTCTTTAAAAATTGTCTCGCTTGCAAAAATGGACCAGCTCTAGCTATTGTGCAATCTGGAATATAAATTTTGAAAATTCAGCTTTGATGTTGAAAATTTCTGGGTAAAAAGTTAATTCCCAAAATAACGACTGACCCAATTTCTTCATCCTCAGATGGAAGAGAGCACACAAACATTTTCAAGTAAGCCTGTTATCCATTTTTATATAGTAGTCATATCGTGTTAAATTTTATCGTAAACTATGATATTTTCATATATTAAGCACACCAAATACATACTAACTACTCAAATCATGGGCATCCATCTGAACGTTTCGTACAAATTCTTTTTTTAAAGATTGATTGTATATATATTGTTTAACGTCCCTCTCGATAATGTTATACTCACATGGAGACACCACCACTAGCCGGTGGACAGCTGCAAATTTTGTCCTATACTCGGAACTCAGGGCTATTGGGAAGGGAGTGATCCTTCTGGTGCCAGCACCTACTGGGACACGAGACCTCGGTTTATATACCCCTACATAACGGACCTTCGGATGAGATCGTAGATGCTGGCACGAATAAGATCCCTCACTGCTCAATGGCCTTGAGTGCAGAGTATTGGGCAATTTTGTGGCTCTGCACCGCGAGTGGTAGCGTCTCCTTATAAGTTAAAATTTTCGAGAGGGCTAATGAATTAATAAATACATGTAATTATGATGAGGAAGGATGCTTCTTCTAAATTTGTGAATTTCATGAACCCCAGGGTCAGGAACTCTTGTGTTAGGACGGGGCTTTATTGATTACATATCAATATGAAAACGCAATAATTCTTTGAAAATTTTCTCCTCTGCTCCTGGGTATTAAACTAACTACATTCCGGTATTTAGTTATGATGAAATAGGGTACCTCTTGAAAAATTGTGAATTTCATGGCCCCAGGGTAAGGAGATCTAGTGTAAGGGGGGGGTGTATTGATTATATTGTGAACATGCATTTATTGTTTGAAAATTTCTGCTCCTTGGTATTAACAAACTGACTACATACTTTTGTCATGAAGAGGAAGAGGGCCTCTTCTAAAATTGTGCAATTTCATGGCCCCAAGGTCAGAGGTTCTATTGTTAGGGCGTGGCCCTTTGATTATATATTGAAAATTCTTTTAAACTCATCTCCGCTTCTAAGTATTAAACAAACAAACTACATGTACATACATAGTAATTATGAGGAAGGGTCACTATTTTAAAATTGTGACTTTCATGGCCCCAGGGTCAGGGGTTCTTGTGTTAGGACTGAGCTGTATTAATTATATAGTGAACATGCATAAATTCTTCGAAAACCTTTTTCTCTGCTCACGGGTATGAAACAAACAAACTATAGTTATTATGAGGAAGGGTGCCTCTTTGAAAATTTTGAATTTCATGGTCCCAGGGTCAGGAGTTCTTGTGTTACTTAGGGTGGGCCTATATTGATTATTAAAAAAATGCAGTAATTCTTTGAAAATCGTCTTCTCTATTCCTGGGTATTAAACAAACTAACTACCTGGTATGTTTACCATGTGTCATTCTTCCAGAATAGCACCGATCGATAACTCCTGAGTGTGCTAAATATAACCCTATCCCAAAATGCATTGCGCGCGACGCCATACTTTCGGACAATAACAATGGAGGTGTCTGAGGCGGACAATGTATCAGCAGTGAATATTAGCGAAAAACACGAACGCAGAGGTGCAACTAAGCATTGTGCTTATGGTCTTTGTAAAAGTGACTCTAGATATATGGATAGACAAGGTATGGAAGGCGTTTTCTTTATTCGCTTTCCACAATTTCATCGTGAACCGGAGAAGTGTACTCGATGGGCCAATGCATGTCGACGAGAGAACTTTACTGCTTTGTCGGTAAAGAAGGACAGATATATATGTAGTTTGCATTTTAAGGGGGGTAGAGGCCCCACGGAAGAATATCCTGACCCAATTCCGGCAACAGCTACCAAATATGAGGTAAACACAGCATGTGAAACTTTTTTATAACGCCGCCAGTCAATGTTTATCATCATAGTATTGTGTCTAAAACATCACACCAAGATAAAGGGTAGATAGATGCAAATTTACCAACAATTTTTGTAGACCATGTACTACAATAATTCAATTCTCCCCCGCACAAGTCATAATTTAAAAGCAGGGATTAGAATCAGAGGAATCTCGGATTAGGCCTAGTTCAATAGTTGGTATATACAACCATGTTACAATACTTACAAACATACATACATACATGTAAAGTCAAATACTAAAGTAGATACAGTCTTTAATCTGTCATATAATATGAGGGTTGAAATATGTGCTAGGCTTATATTAAAATGACATATTACCTGATTACTGTTATGTAAAGTGTAGAATTTTATCAAATTTAAACACAAATCGCTCTTGGCAGAGTTGTTGACAATACAAATAACATTATAAATTCTAATTCAAAAAAATGTGTGTGCATGCATTTAATGTCTGCCTCATAGAATCTACATTGTCTTGTAAAATTCCCAATATCAAAAGTAAATAAATAAAAGTAAATAAGTACAGTAGTGGGTTTATAGTGTCAAAAATTTTTATTCATTTGATATCATAATACTATTTTGCCATATTATAAAAAAATCTAGAAAATGTATATTCTTATTGATATATTTGTTTTTAGCTTGAAAAATTTGTCAGAAGCAGAAAGAGGCCGTTAGTGCGAAAAAATTTGACATGGTCCCCAGAACCCAAACGCAAGAAGAGTCATTTAGGGAATATAGACATTGCTGAGACAGAAGCTGCTAGTGCAACATCTACTGAGGATCATCCCATTGCTAAATTAAATCTTGATACAGTCCAGGCAGCAGAGGCCTTATTAATGCTGCAGAATTCTGAAAGTGAAGAAGTGAGTTAAATTTTGAGGGTTTTTACTTTTTCGAAATTTTCTAGATTCATATCAACAGACTTTTGCTATCTCTCTGTCCCTAAGGTATACAAATTTTAAAGGTGTGTCTGGTTAAAATGTGTACTGGGTCTTTCATCTAAATATATTAAGTTATTATATAAATATTGCATTTAGTTGAGTTTGATATTGAAAAATTTCACCCCAAGAAAACCAATGTCAGCGGAGCCCCAGCCAAGGTTGACAGTGGTTTGCGCCTCCGTTGACAATGGTTTCCTAGCCTAGGTGAAATTTTTCAATGTTACACTCATCTACATGCAATATATATTATACACATACTGAATGTTCTAACAGTAATCTGGGTGCACATAAATTCTGCGCAGTCTCTATTTTTCGGAATAACACCTCGTCAAGCAATGTTGACTGTTGCTATGCTAGAAGACATGGCTTCATTATTCAGCGTGTACTAGCATTTTTTTTTTAAGTTTCTCGACAAATCAGAATCAACCCGAATCAACTAATTTGCCTGAAAGTGTAATATAAATAAATATCGTACTTTCATGTAAATTACTTGAATTCGTTGAGAAACAATTGTTAAAAAACACTATTGCCCGCTGAATAATAACACTACACCCTCCTGTGTAGCAACAGTTAAAAAAAAATAGTGACTGCACAGAATTCATGCACGCACGAATCACTGTTATATACATATTTGTATAAAACATTCAGTATAATATAATAAATATAGCATGTAGTTGAGTGTAACATTGAAAATTTTCACCCCTGGAAAACCATTGTCAACCTCGGCTGCACCTCAGTTGACAATGGTTTTCTTGAAGTGAAATTTTCAATGTTACACTCAACTACTTGCAATGTTTATATAATACAAAATTATTTTTACAATAACAATACTATTTCATTTTTTTGTTAAAAATTGAAATACTTTAATTAAATTAAATCTCCTTGCTGCTTCATTACGCAAAAAATATGCAGATGATGCGGTTTTTTCTACAATGCCTGCAACAGATTTGCCTAGTATATGATTCAACAATGAAATCATGTAGCATTCAATTAATCTTGATCAGGTAGGTTTATTTTAAATGCAAGGTCATTCATCTCAGTTCTATTTTTTATGTAAAAATTTTCAGTGGTTGACACTTATTAAGTACTGATGTGTTCTAAAGATGTTTGACTTTGAAGGAGTAAGACTCAAAATGTATTTTATTTTGCAGGTAAACATTGTTTCTGATGGACGGAAAGGACTAGATATCCAAGATCCAAATTCCATGTTAAAGAATTCATGTGATGAAGAAACCCAGACAACATCTTGTTGTTTAACCTTGAATGAATCTTTGGCATTAAAATTAGAAAATTTTGATTTAAAAAGCAAGATTTTTGAACTTGGAAAAAAAAGTACACAGTCAAAAGCATTTTCCATTGCTGATGTGAAAGATGATGACAAGAAAATGATATTTTATACTGGTTTAACTTATGGGCAATTTATGTGTTTGTGGAAATTTCTTGGACCAGCCACAAGAAATCTTTCTAGAATAAATAATATGAGGAAATTTGAGCTTACTCCATCTAAGTCAAGAGGACCAAAGAGAAAATTGTCACCAGAAGATGAACTTTTCCTCACACTGGTTAGACTTCGTCTCGGATTATTGCATACTGACTTAGCCTATCGTTTTGGTGTTTCAGTTAGTACTGTCAATGAAATAACTTCAACATGGATACAGTTCTTATATTTACAGTTTAATAGACTACGAAATGCTATGTTTCCATCTAGAAAAATAATTGGCAAGCATTTACCAAAGTCCTTCAGAAAATATAAAAAAGTACGTGTAATATTAGATGCCACTGAGTTTTTTACACAGGTACCTAGAAATTACGAGCAGCAGGGTAATCTTTACTCTTCATATAAGAATCATTGTACTTGCAAAGTTCTGATAGGAATAACACCCTCAGGAGCAATATCATTTGTATCTGATGTGTATGAAGGGTCAATTTCTGATAAGGAAATTTTCAAAAAGAGCAAAATTATGGATAAAATAAATCCTGGTGATCTGGTAATGGTAGATCGGGGATTTAATGTTCGAGACATTTTGTTGCAGAAAGGTGCCGATATTGTAATCCCACCATTTTTGGGAAATAGAACTAATTTGTCACCACAAGAAGAAGCCCAAACACGTGTTATTGCAAAATTACGAATTCATGTTGAGAGGGTAATTGAACGCATAAAAAAATATAAAATTTGCAAGAAAATTGTACCTTTGAACACACTGTCAACTTTCTCCCAAACAGTCTTCATTGTTGCATGTTTGGTAAACTTTCAGAAACCAATAGTGAAATAAAGGTGATGAAAACTGTTGTATTTTCAGTGTACATTTTGAAACTGAGTAAATTTTAGCATCAGAAATTAATGAATTTGAATTTTAAACCATTTTTAGCTCACCTGAGCCGAAGGCTCAAGTGAGCTTTTCTGATCACATTTTGTCCGTCGTCCGTCTGTCCGTCCGTCCGTCCGTCTGTCTGTCCGTCTGTCTGTCTGTCTGTAAACTTTTCACATTTTCGACTTCTTCTCAAGAACCACTGGGCCAATTTCAACCAAACTTGCCACAGAGCATCCTTGGGTGAAGGGGATTCAAGTTTGTTCAAATGAAGGGCCACGCCCTTATTCAAGGGGAGATAATTGGGAATTAATGAAAATTTGGTGGCATGTTTTAAAAATCTTCTTCTCAAGAACCACTGTGCCAGGAAAGATGAAACTTATGGGGTAACATCCTCAGGTAGTGTAGATTGAAGTTTGTTCAAATCATGACCCCCGGGGGTAGGGCGGGGCCAAAATGGCCGACCAAAGTTTTACATAGAAATATATTGGAAAATTCTTTAAAAATCTTCTTCTCAAGAACCACTGTGCCAGGAAAGATGAAACTTATGGGGTAACATCCTCAGGTAGTGTAGATTGAAGTTTGTTCAAATCATGACCCCCAGGGGTAGGGCCGGGCCAAAATGGCCGACCAAAGTTTTATATAGAAATATATAGGAAAATTCTTTAAAAGTCTTCTTCTCAAGAATGACAGAGCCATAATTCATCAAATTTATATGGAAGCATCCTCAGGTAGTGTAGATTGAAGTTTGTTCATATCATGACCCCAGGGGGTAGGGCGGGGCCAAAATGGCCGACCAAAGTTTTACATAGAAATATATAGGAAAATTCTTTAAAAATCTTCTTCTCAAGAATGACAGAGCCATAATTCATCAAATTTATATGGAAGCATCCTCAGGTAGTGTAGATTGAAGTTTGTTCAAATCATGACCCCCGGGGGTAGGGCGGGGCCAAAATGGCCGACCAAAGTTTTACATAAAAATATATAGGAAAATTCTTTAAAAATCTTCTTCTCAAGAATGACAGAGCCATTATTCATCATATTTATATGGAAGCATGTTCAGGTAGTGTAGATTCAATTTTGTTCAAATCATGACCCCCGGGGGTAGGGCGGGGCCAAAATGGCCAACCAAAGTTTTACATAGAAATTAATGGGAAAATTCTTTAAAAATCTTCTTCTCAAGAATGACAAAGCCATTATTCATCATATTTATGTGGAAGCATCTTCAGGTAGTGTAGATTCAAATTTGTTCAAATCATGACCCCAGGGGATAGGGCGGGGCCAAAATGGCCGACCAAAGTTTTACATAGAAATATATGGGAAAATTCTTTGAAGAATAGCAAATCCATGATTGATCATGGGATTACTTTTGGATTTTAACTTTTCAATAATAAACCAATTTCTACTTTTTCTAAGCTACAGTACTCAGGTGAGCGATGTGGCCCATGGGCCTCTTGTTTTGAATTTTCATGATTTACTTGATCTAGTTGGTTTAATCTTTAACTGATCAGAATACCTGTATGCACATATTTACTTATCTGTGAATTTGCAAAATAAAAACAGTACACAAGAATGAACGAAAACTATGTTTTATTATGTACAGATGTAAACTAATACTTAAGCTGTATAATTTCAAGTTCACGAGGTAGTCGCATGAGGAAATATTCTGGAACAATATATTCTCTATGAAAAGCCTCAAGTTGCGGACACATGTAAGACCACAAGTCATTACTGACAGTTATTCTCTCCACTGACATACCCTTTGGAGACCAGACAACAAAGTCACAAACATCTAATTCACATAAAGCTAACTGCATTTGAATTTGATAATAATATTTATGATTTCTTTTGAGTCTCAAATTTCCTTGATTATCTTTAACACAACAAAAATCTTTACATTGCTTTATTGACAAATTGTCTATGAAATTCAAGGGATTGCAATTTCTAAGTACATATGGGCATTTGATCTCAATTAGACCCTTTGTTTCATTTGATTTATCAATGAATATTCCATCAGGACTACATCCGAGAGTAGGGTGTTTAGGGTTCAACCACAAACCTGTTTCCTGCACATTGTAGTTTGGATGTTGTTGTTTGTAATGTGCAAGAGCATCAGATTCATGTTCACGCCCATACAGTAGGGCTGCTGTTACAGGGGAATCTGACCACAGAAGCCTATTGACTAGACTCGTAATACCTGTTCTAACACATTTGATATCTTTTGCATTCGATGCTGTTACCCTGCACCATCTATTTACCTGCCAGTCTTGCGATAATGACTGACCTACTGTGTTATCAACTACAAAGGGGGAACATTTATCAGAACACTTTTCATTTAAATTATAAATGAATTGTTTACATTGAATCTTTAAAATATCTACACCATAATCATCCATACTGAAATTTTCATAATGAAAATCTAATAAATTTGTCCATCCACATTCTTGTCCATCCATGACTAAATTTGATAAGAATTCATTTTTCTGTTCATTTGATAATTCATTCTCCCTCAGTTTTTCAGGTCTTGGATCAGAGTTCAAGATATCTTTGACTGAAGTTTTTTGACGTTTAAGATTTTTCTTCATGGACTTGTATTCCTTGTTAAAAATTGTCTCTGGATTCTTATTTTTTCTTCTACCTTTGTTCCACTGTAGTAGTTTGTCTGTGCAGGTAGGCAGGTCAGTCCCAAATTCAATAGTGTAGTCCTCTAATGCAAACAACACAGCAGCAACATGAGAACATCTGCCCATGCCAGAAGCAGAGCAAGTGCACGTACCCTCTAACACTGATCCAGATGATTCGGATAATGTTACTGTACAATTGTAGGAATGTTTTGAGTAGGAAGCTAACACTGATGCTTTAACAAAATAGTGTCCTTTACAACTGACATCATGCATGTTTTTCACATGACCACTTCTGAAAAGATTCATACCCTTAGTAAATGGTTTGCTAGTATGCACATCATCTTGACAGTCATCATCAGAACTGTTTGAGTCAAACTCGATTGATGCTACTGATTCCACAAGATAATAGTAGATATGCCCATGATTAAAATGTTTTGGTATAGACACAGATGGAAACTTCTTCCAACCTTGAATTGGAACATAGGGAACTTGTGATGCAACAGGTGTTGGATTCTTTTTAAGATTCAGCCATTTACCATCGTCAACTTTCAGATCAATTTTAACATTGTTGTTTACAGCATTCTGGCATCTGCATAATAATACGTAAATTATTTAATGGCAAAAAGGTCAAAGTATGTGTTATTGTAGATTGTTTTTGTAGATTTCCATCATTTAATAATTTAATTGCCACAAAACATTACCGAAAAAAATTATTTATATATTTATTTTTTACATAAATGTTTCAATCGCGGTGTCGTGATTTTCGATGTTTACAAATACACATTATCAAAAATTGGGTACCTTTCTATTAAATCTGGCCGTTTTCCAGAAGTAGGAAGCCCACGACATTTCAACCATCTTTTTAATTGAATATTTGTGTGTTCCTCGACCGATGTATGAACAAACTTGGCCCCAGGAATATCCTCTTCTAATAACGAATTGGCCGCCATCATAACTATTTTTGTCCGAACCGACTGCAGCGCCTCTAGCGGGAAACTAATTTTAATTTATGCGCGTAAATTATGACGTAAATTTCTATCGGTGCTATTGTGAATTTCAAGGCCATAGGATCATGGGTATCATAGAGGACCGGGGGAGACTTAATTAATAGAATTCTTTGAAATCTGCTCCATTATATGAATCAAATATTTATGATGAGCAACGGTACCTTTTCCAAAATTGTGAAAAGTGTGGTTCTAGAGTCAGGGGTTTTTATGGGATGGGTGCCTTACTGATTATTGGTGAATATTACTGATTAGTTGAAATGCATTTTTGTGTTCCCCTACTCTGTCTATGGGTATTAAGTAAGTAAACTAAATATGCTACATTTGTAAGTGTGTAGTTATGATGAACAATGGTGGGTCTTTCAAAATTGTGAATGTCATGGCCTCTGTTTAAAACATGAACTAAATCCGATTGTTAATGTTGGAATGTTGTTGCATGATGCTCAGGTGACCCATAAGGCCCATGCATCTGACATTACTTTTTTTTTTGAATAAAAAAATATGCCCCTATCTAATAACATTTATATTTCATTAAAAGAAAAATAAGTAACGTCAGGTGCCTGTGCCATGGACCTCTTGTTTGAAAAGAAATGTCGGAATTGCTGTGAAAAACCACTCGGAGTTCCTGGGGTGACTCGTACCTCGCACATAACCTCGGACGTCAACGGTGATCTACCATCTTGCTGATTCAGTCATGTGATCTTATTTGAATTTCATTCAAATGTTATTGTAACTTTGTTGCACGCCCAACACTGCGTTCTTGCTTTCAAAGAATACTGACTTATTGTTGTTTTTAACATGAGGAATTACACAAATAAAGAAACATTTTCGAAGAACGTTATGCAGAGCGAAATATATAATGAGTAATAAGGCAGTTTCCGGCGGAGAAATGTAAGGATCTGATGCGTATTCCTCCACTAATCACATCCGAAGTTTGAATGGAGCGTAGCGGAATCAGCCGAGGATTGCCGATTGGTGAAAAACTCCGGAAATGAAATGCAGCGGAACAATTTAAGAATGAAGTAAACTGCTTTGTCTACAAGCTTACCGTATCTACACTTAGACACAGAGGAATTCGTTTAAACCCAAACATTCAATATGATTTATGTTTTCTTAGATTAATTGATTATATGTTGTTTAACGTCTCTCTCTCGAATCTTTTACGCGTATGGAGACGCCACCACATCCCGGTTAAGAACTGCAAATTTTGCCCTAAATTCGGTACTCAGGGCCATTGAGTAGGTAGGGATCTTCCTCGTGCTAGCGTCTACTCCGACACGGGATCTCGATTTATGCTGTCTTTTCAGAAGGACCGGTGTTCTCAGCAAGACTGTGACATTTTTCGTCACGAGTCTCTATATATTGACGTCACTTCTAAATTGTGACGTCAGAATGAGATGGCGAAAATCTATACTTCTCATATGCTATTTATAAAACATGTGTAGGACTTGAGGTGTGTCAAATTTTATTCTGATCTGAATCGTAGGTTTTGTAAATATAGAGATAGTTCGCGAACTTTTTGATCACCCCTCATACAGTATTTTTGCATTTTAGTCTGTCTATTCTACTTGTATGCCAAAACCCCTCATATTTATGCATCTTAGTCTGTCTTCTCTACTTGTATGCCAAGATATAATGAAACTGGACCAAGATTTTATGAGTAGCGTTTTGAAAAATTGTTTAGACAGACGCACGCCTTGCTATCGTATTTAACCCTCTGGCTGCGGGAAGGACATTTATGTCCTTTTACCGTTCACTGCGGGAAGGACATAAATGTCCCCGGCGACGTCATTAATTTTATTCAGAAATATGTAAAGTAATTTCAGTAAATATTTGAAAATTTTGTTTGTCTTGCACCTAAAATAGATAAATAAGAAAACTAAGATTTTTTTTTAATAAAGGTTAGTTCTTTATCTTATTTTTTAATTACAAATTACACTGCATTTAAATGTAATTTCATTTTTGAAAGTTTAAAGAGAAATATAATTCATGTATGTTTTTAACATTTTCGTCCGCATGTAAAAGAAGTTTTACTATCTGTAACCAACATTTTTTTTTTAATTTTGATTTATTCCACTTGTCCACGTCGAGGAAATAATGGTCGATTTTGAAATTATTACATAATGTGGCATTTTAAATTGACTGCGGGAAGGACATATATGTCCTTTTACCGCTGGCTGCGGGAGGGACATATATGTCCCCGGCGACGTCATAAAGTTTGAAAAGTCTTTTCACTTTCTTAATTGAAATTTATGCATTATTTTAATATAATTAAATTTGAAGTTTTTGCTGAAAAAAAGCTTAAAAATTTCGAAACAACTACCGATTAATGAAAGTTGAAAGTTAAAAAAAATATATATTATACTAATTCATGCATTTTTTATGCATTGATATGCAAGTTTAAAATGCGCAAACAGAATTTACTATAAAAATAAGTAATTAAAATCACTGAGAAAGCCATTAAATTTTACTGTCCATGTAATCACTACGTATACCTCAAAAGTAGTTTTACTAGGTACGCGTATTGGGTATATTTACTAGTAAGATAACATAAGTGAATTGTGAATTCATAAGCAACTTTCACTAGGCCGGTATCTAAGTATCAATACGACCCTAGCTCCACAACTCACTTTCTTAACTGAAAGCTAGCAATTTACGACAAAGGATTTAGTATGTTCACTAGTTAAATTCACTAGGTTTTTGTCTTAGTGAATACCTTTTCGCAATTTAATTCTAACATTAACACCGGTAATACATGTATCTGTAAACCTAAATTAAGGATCTTATAGTCTATTTTGTTGAGGAAAAATCATAATTGTATGTGATAAAAGATATTAAATTAAAATTTTCAAAAGAGTACTAAATGAAATTACTTAGAATTCCTTCTGTCCTTTTGGGGGTATTTGCACGTTACAGAGTATATAATTTAGAAATATTTCAAAAAAGTTTACAATATTCAATTTTTATTCATTTACACATTTTTTCCAAGATTTAAAAATTATTGTTTCTAAAAAATTATCTTGATTTTTAGTTTGAATAGGAAACTGACAGCAGAAATGATATTCATCTGCCTTCGGGTCAATTTTCTTGAAGTAGCTAGGACATGCGAATCTCAATCACCCTCTAGCAAACCATTTTCTCGATCGATTTTATCGTAGTATCCCAGTCAAATCTTCGAATAATTAATAGATTATCTGTACCTTAATTGAAAAGCTTTATCAACTTTCTTGGAAGAAGAAACCTACTTGAATTGAGTCTGGGGTCATGTTGCGAAAATAAAACCTGTTCAGATCTGCAAAGCGACTTTTGATGTGTTTTAATGAGAAATATTAAAACTTTTATATCAAGAAAAATAATTTTATTCAGAGTAGAAATGTTAGAAACAGGGGCGTAGTATCCGGGGGGGGGGGGGGGGCTGGGCCCCCCACTTTTTTTCCCAACCTAATTTACACTATAGGAAATGTTAATTGAAAGCTTGGTTGGCCCCCCCACTTTTAGAAATGTACCGAAAATGTAGTACAAGAATTGGTACTAAAAGTAGTTGACACTGAGAAAAAGTTAACCTAACCACCCCCCCCCCCCCCCCCCCCCCCCCCCCTACGAAATAGGATTTTCGACTTTGGGCAACTTAGTATTCCTTTTTTTTTTTTTTTTTTTTTTTTTTGCTTGTCAACTTTTTCAGGTAAGTAAAAAAAAAAATTTTCTCTGCCTGGCCCCCCCACTTTCAAAAACGATGCTACGCCACTGAGAAAGCAAAACACTCTCAAGTATCGTCATTCCGAACTAAGAGATGCGTACAGAGTTTAGCAAATCGAGCACACTCGTGTTATGTACACAGTTTTTGTAAACAAGGCTCGAGTTCTGTTATTGTTTATATTTATAATTCACCGGGTGCGTTCAATCGTCACAGTCTGCTTACCACTACTGCACGGACTGACAATATATTGTGTGTTTGTTTTGCTTTCGAACGTGTCTACTCTGAATTTTCTGGATTTTAGTATTAATATTTTTCATTTATACAAAACGAGATTGCCACTTCTCCTAAGGATAAAGAATAAAATTAAATTTGTGAGAGTGCAAGGATATCTCAATTAAACTCAATTAAAATTTGAAATTTCAATATCTTTTAAACGAAATAAGACTTTTAATTAATTTTTGTGTGAAATGCTATTAAAATATAAAATTCATGATATTATACAGGACAAATGCGAAAATATTAACTTCAAATCTGTGTCCAAGTACCTTTAATATGGACATTTATTTTTTCAACTTTTTCCAATTTTAGATAAACCCTGAACACACGATTTGAACATCGTGTAAACAGACATGCACGATCTTGTGATATATTTTGTAACATATCAATATACTTCAGGGAACTTTCATCTGCAACAATAACACGGTTTAATATAAGTTTTAAACTGGATCTTTATCCAATGCATATTTTTTTCTGTTATGAAAAAAAAGTGATAAAAAAATTTATCAGACTCCATGTTAGAAACAATACGATATTTTGCAGGAAGAATAAAGATGCACTTTTCAAATGAATTCTCTTTACAAGACACTACGAATAGCAGCTTTCTATACGCTTTTTAAATATATTCCATTCATTGTGATTATGGCGAAGATAACATATCTTTTCAATTCTTCAGATATTAAATTAAGTTTTGAATTATCCTAATCCCGTCAATTTCTCTGATAACATAGAACGGTACTTGTGTGTTTTCTACATCATCATGTATACTCAACTGAAAATTAATTTTTATTTTAAAAATCAAAAATGATAAGATGTAGAAAATGGAATCCTTTAGGTCATTGATTAGCCGTGTCGACTTGTCCCCAAAAAAATAATAAACCCAAGAAAAGTTAGGAAATCCTCATTAAAAACTGACTGTTGAATTTTGCTTCTAATAAACTGAAAACACGTGTCCTTTTTTCTAATTCATGTAAAAAAAGACAAATGG